ATTTACATGTTTTTGTCCAATACGACAAGCAGCATTTACATGTTTTTGTCCCGCACATCAAGCAGCATTTACATGTTTAAGTCCAATACGACAAGCAGCATTTACATGTTTAAGTCCAATACGTCAAGCAGCATTTACATGTTTAAGTCCAATACGACAAGCAGCATTTACATGTTTAAGTCCAATACGACAAGCAGCATTTACATGTTTTTGTCCCGCACATCAAGCAGCATTTACATGTTTAAGTCCAATACGACAAGCAGCATTTACATGTTTAAGTCCAATACGCCCAGCAGCATTTACATGTTTAAGTCCAATACGACAAGCAGCATTTACATGTTTAAGTCCAATACGACAAGCAGCATTTACATGTTTAAGTCCAATACGACAAGCAGCATTTACATGTTTTTGTCCCGCACATCAAGCAGCATTTACATGTTTAAGTCCAATACGACAAGCATCATTTACATGTTTAAGTCCAATACGACAAGCAGCATTTACATGTTTAAGTCCAATACGTCAAGCAGCATTTACATGTTTAAGTCCAATACGACAAGCAGCATTTACATGTTTAAGTCCAATACGACAAGCAGCATTTACATGTTTAAGTCCAATACGACAAGCAGCATTTACATGTTTAAGTCCAATACGTCAAGCAGCATTTACATGTTTTTGTCCCGCACATCAAGCAGCATTTACATGTTTAAGTCCAATACGACAAGCAGCATTTACATGTTTAAGTCCAATACGTCAAGCAGCATTTACATGTTTAAGTCCAATACGACAAGCAGCATTTACATGTTTAAGTCCAATACGACAAGCAGCATTTACATGTTTAAGTCCAATACGACAAGCAGCATTTACATGTTTAAGTCCAATACGTCAAGCAGCATTTACATGTTTTTGTCCCGCACATCAAGCAGCATTTACATGTTTAAGTCCAATACGACAAGCATCATTTACATGTTTAAGTCCAATACGTCAAGCAGCATTTACATGTTTAAGTCCAATACGACAAGCAGCATTTACATGTTTAAGTCCAATACGACAAGCATCATTTACATGTTTAAGTCCAATACGACAAGCAGCATTTACATGTTTAAGTCCAATACGACAAGCAGCATTTACATGTTTTTGTCCAATACGACAAGCAGCATTTACATGTTTTTGTCCCGCACATCAAGCATCATTTACATGTTTAAGTCCAATACGACAAGCATCATTTACATGTTTAAGTCCAATACGTCAAGCAGCATTTACATGTTTAAGTCCAATACGACAAGCAGCATTTACATGTTTAAGTCCAATACGACAAGCAGCATTTACATGTTTAAGTCCAATACGACAAGCAGCATTTACATGTTTAAGTCCAATACATCAAGCAGCATTTACATGTTTTTGTCCCGCACATCAAGCAGCATTTACATGTTTAAGTCCAATACGACAAGCAGCATTTACATGTTTAAGTCCAATACGTCAAGCAGCATTTACATGTTTAAGTCCAATACGACAAGCAGCATTTACATGTTTAAGTCCAATACGACAAGCAGCATTTACATGTTTAAGTCCAATACGACAAGCAGCATTTACATGTTTAAGTCCAATACGTCAAGCGGCATTTACATGTTTTTGTCCCGCACATCAAGCAGCATTTACATGTTTAAGTCCAATACGACAAGCAGCATTTACATGTTTAAGTCCAATACGTCAAGCAGCATTTACATGTTTAAGTCCAATACGACAAGCAGCATTTACATGTTTAAGTCCAATACGACAAGCAGCATTTACATGTTTAAGTCCAATACGACAAGCATCATTTACATGTTTAAGTCCAATACGACAAGCAGCATGTACATGTTTAAGTCCAATACGACAAGCATCATTTACATGTTTAAGTCCAATACGACAAGCAGCATTTACATGTTTAAGTCCCATACGTCAAGCAGCATTTACATGTTTAAGTCCAATACGACAATCATCATTTACATGTTTAAGTCCAATACGACAAGCAGCATTTACATGTTCAAGTCCAATATGACAAGCAGCATTTACATGTTTAAGTCCAATACGACAAGCAGCATTTACATGTTTTTGTCCAATACGACAAGCAGCATTTACATGTTTTTGTCCCGCACATCAAGCAGCATTTACATGTTTAAGTCCAATACGACAAGCAGCATTTACATGTTTAAGTCCAATACGTCAAGCAGCATTTACATGTTTAAGTCCAATACGACAAGCAGCATTTACATGTTTAAGTCCAATACGACAAGCAGCATTTACATGTTTTTGTCCCGCACATCAAGCAGCATTTACATGTTTAAGTCCAATACGACAAGCAGCATTTACATGTTTTTGTCCCGCACATCAAGCAGCATTTACATGTTTAAGTCCAATACGTCAAGCAGCATTTACATGTTTAAGTCCAATACGACAAGCAGCATTTACATGTTTAAGTCCAATACGACAAGCATCATTTACATGTTTAAGTCCAATACGACAAGCACCATTTACATGTTTAAGTCCAATACGACAAGCAGCATTTACATGTTTAAGTCCAATACGACAAGCAGCATTTACATGTTTAAGTCCAATACGACAAGCACCATTAACATGTTTAAGTCCAATACGACAAGCAGCATTTACATGTTTAAGTCCAATACGACAAGGACCATTTACATGTTTAAGCCCAATACGACAAGCATCATTTACATGTTTAAGTCCAATATGACAAGCAGCATTTACATGTTTTTGTCCCGCACATCAAGCATCATTTACATGTTTAAGTCCAATACGACAAGCATCATTTACATGTTTAAGTCCAATACGACAAGGACCATTTACATGTTTAAGTCCAATACGACAAGCATCATTTACATGTTTAAGTCCAATACGACGAGGACCATTTACATGTTTAAGTCCAATACGACAAGCATCATTTACATGTTTAAGTCCAATATGACAAGCAGCATTTACATGTTTAAGTCCAATATGACAAGCATCATTTACATGTTTAAGTCCAATACGACAAGCAACATTAACATGTTTAAGTCCAATACGACAAGCAGCATTTACATGTTTAAGTCCAATACGACAAGCATCATTTACATGTTTAAGTCCAAAACGACAAGGACCATTTACATATTTAAGTCCAATACGACAAGCATCATTTACATGTTTAAGTCCAATACGACAAGCAGCATTTACATGTTTAAGTCCAATACGACAAGCATCATTTACATGTTTAAGTCCAATACGACAAGCAGCATTTACATGTTTAAGTCCAATACGACAAGCAGCATTTACATGTTTAAGTTCAATACCACAAGCATCATATACCTGTTTAAGTCCAATACGCCAGCACCATTTACATGTTTAAGTCCAATACGACAAGCAGCATTTACATGTTTAAGTCCAATACGACAAGCAGCATTTACATGTTTAAGTCCAATACGACAAGCAGCATTTACATGTTTAAGTCCAATACGACAAGCATCATTTACATGTTTAAGTCCAATACGACAAGCATCATTTACATGTTTAAGTCCAATACGACAAGCAGCATTTACATGTTTAAGTCCAATACGACAAGCATCATTTACATGTTTAAGTCCAATACGACAAGCAGCATTTACATGTTTAAGTCCAATACGACAAGCACCATTAACATGTTTAAGTCCAATACGACAAGCAGCATTTACATGTTTAAGTCCAATACGACAAGGACCATTTACATGTTTAAGCCCAATACGACAAGCATCATTTACATGTTTAAGTCCAATATGACAAGCAGCATTTACATGTTTTTGTCCCGCACATCAAGCATCATTTACATGTTTAAGTCCAATACGACAAGCAGCATTTACATGTTTAAGTCCAATACGACAAGGACCATTTACATGTTTAAGTCCAATACGACAAGCATCATTTACATGTTTAAGTCCAATACGACGAGGACCATTTACATGTTTAAGTCCAATACGACAAGCATCATTTACATGTTTAAGTCCAATACGACAAGCAGCATTTACATGTTTAAGTCCAATATGACAAGCATCATTTACATGTTTAAGTCCAATACGACAAGCAACATTAACATGTTTAAGTCCAATACGACAAGCAGCATTTACATGTTTAAGTCCAATACGACAAGCATCATTTACATGTTTAAGTCCAAAACGACAAGGACCATTTACATGTTTAAGTCCAATACGACAAGCATCATTTACATGTTTAAGTCCAATAAGACAAGGACCATTTACATGTTTAAGTCCAATATGACAAGCAGCATTTACATGTTTTTGTCCCGCACATCAAGCAGCATTTACATGTATAAGTCCAATACGACAAGCATCATTTACATGTTTAAGTCCAATACGACAAACAGCATTTACATGTTTTTGTCCCGCACATCAAGCATCATTTACATGTTTAAGTCCAATACGACAAGCATCATTTACATGTTTAAGTCCAATACGACAAGCAGCATTTACATGAGTGTGTCCCGTACACCAAACAGCATTAACATTTCTGTTGACTTAAGGTGTGGAAGGGAGGGAGGGTAGGGGTTCTTTTTTAAGTAAAAACCTTCAAATGCTATTTAATGTTTTAACAGAATAGGAATAGCGCTGGATATTCCTATACTGAATGGGCTGTGGATCCCAAAACCTTCGGAGATTGAAATTGCCTTGAGGCGGTGACAATACCCGTCATTCATCATCTCCATCCCCCGTCCTATCAACCCCACCCCCCCCACCCCCGACCTTCCCCACAACCCCCCCCCCCCCCCCCCACCCCCACCCCACAACCCCCACACCCCCCACCCCCCACCCCCAACCCCCTACCCACAAGCAAACTCACCTCCTCTAACAGAATATCAAACGGTCGGTTACAAACTCCCTTAAGGCTTTATTGTTCAAACTCAGTGTCTGTGTCGACGTGACGCCCATGATACAATTGTAAACATGTATACACACAGAGTGAGGTTGTCACAGGCTTAATGCCATCGGTATGCGGGTACTTCATGTGTAACGGGATGCGGCTACAGAAGCTCCGCTCACAATACTGGCTTTGTACTGCGGCAGGTTGTGCAGGTCTCAGGTACGTTCGGTGTTCTCTCTTGTGTCCATGTTGCTAACATTGTGTTGTGTCTATGGTGCTAACATTGTGTCCATGGTGTTGACACCGTGTTGTGTCCATGGTGATGACATTGTGTTGTGTCCATGATGCTGACATTGTGATGTGTCCATGGTGATGACATTGTGTTGTGCCCATAGGGCTGATACTCTGTTGTGTCAATGATGCTCACACTGTGTTGTGTCCATGCTGTTGACTTTGTGCTGTGTCCATGGTGTCGACATCGTGTCCATGGTGTTGACACCGTGTTGTGTCCATGGTGTTGACATTGTGTTGTGTCCATGGTGTTGACTTTGTGTTGTGTCCATGGTGTTGACATTGTGTTGTGTCAATGGTGATGACATTGTGTTGTGTCCATGATGTTGACTTTGTGTTGTGTCCATGGTGTTGACATTGTGTTGTGTCAATGGTGATGACATTGTGTTGTGTTCATGCTGTTGACTTTGTGTTGTGTCCATGATGTTGACACTGTGTTGTGTCCATGATGTTGACACTGTGTTGTGTCCATGATGCTGCCACTGTGTTGTGTCCATGGTGCTGACATTGTGTTGTGTCCATGATGCTGCCACTGTGTTGTGTCCATGGTGCTCACACTGTGTTGTGTCCATGATGCTGCCACTGTGTTGTGTCCATGGTGCTGACACTGTGTTGTGTCCATGGTGCTGACACTGTGTTGTGTCCACAGTGTTGACACTGTGTTGTGTCCATGGTGATGGCATTGTGTTGTGCCCATAGTGCTAACACTGTGTTGTGTCCATGGTGCTGACACTGTGGTGTGTCCGTGGTGCTGACACTGTGTTGTGTCCATGGTGATGGCATTGTGTTGTGCCCATAGTGCTAACACTGTGTTGTGCCCATAGTGCTAACACTGTGTTGTGTCCATGGTGCTGACACTGTGTTGTGTCCATGGTGTTGACACTGCGTTGTGTCCATGGTGATGGCTTTGTGTTGTGTCCAAAGTGCTGACACAGTGTTGTGTCCATGGTGCTGACATTGTGTTGTGTCCATGGTGTTGTCATTGTATTGTGTCCATGATGCTGACACTGTGTTCTTTCCATGGTGTTGACACTGTTTTGTGTCCAAGATGATGAGATTGCGTTGTTCCCACTGTTGTGACGTTACATTGTGTCAATGATGCTGATACTGTGTTGTGTCCATGTTTATGACGTTGTATTGTGGACTGACTTTAGCAGACTATGGAAAGAGTTATGTCTCTATTATTAACATGTGAGTTCCGTAAATGTTGTGGAGAGAACGCTTTATGACTGTAGTCATCTCAGTTATCGGTACATAGGAAAAGTCCAAGGTGAAGGTCAGATACTATCAATAACGCGTATGTCCCCCGTTGTAATCGATACCGGCCTGACATCTCCTGCCCATGGAAGAGACGAGTATGCGAATCACATCCTGGGGAATGTTTGCCCAGGCGTCCTGCAACGCCAAAGCCAACTGCTGCAACGTCTGGGGTTGGGTTGATGTCGGCGTGGCCGTCTATCTAATTAAATCCACAGATGCTAAATCGGGTTGAAATCCGGGGAACATCAACGTTGTTGTTGTGTAGACAGGTTCTTGTAATCCGTGTTGTATGCCGTCGAGCGTTGTTCTGCTGCAATACACCGTTGCCGTTGGCTGCAATTGAGAGGAAGTGTGGTAGGATAATTTCGCTGATGTAACTTTGAGCCGTTAGATTGTCCTGGATATGGACCAAACCTGTCTTGCCATGATGAGAGACTGCTGCCCACATCATAACGCTACCCCCACCAAACCTGTCCACTTCCTTTACGCAGTTTTCGGCGTAACGTTCTCCCAGACGTATGTAGACCCCTGCTCTTCCATCCTCTCGATAGAGGAATAAACTTGATTCGTCGCTGAACCAGACATCTCCCCGTCGCAAGTGAGGAGACACCAATGCAGTCGTTGTTGACGATGTTGTCGACTCAATATGGCGCGTCGAGCAAGACGTCTTGCTCGTAGACCTGCTGCTCTTAAGCGGTTTCGTACGGTCTGGTCGGAGATTCCGCGCAGTCGGGGTATTTTGGATGCAGTTGAGTTGGCTGTGGGCGCCCTTTCACGTTGGTGGCGCAGTCGGATGTAGCAGTCTTGGGCGGGAGTAGTTATTCTTGGTCGTCCCGACCTTGACCGATCACGTGTTGACCCATGCTAATGTGATACAGTCTTGTGATGGAGCTGGGCGCTACATTAAACACCCTTGAGCGACCTTTGACGTTGTTTCATTGCACTTCTGTTAATCTTGGCATCTTGTGGAATTTCACTGTTCGATTGACGCAGATACCGGGCAATCACAAAAACTTCACTTTATTGCCATTCATAGTCCTGCTGCAAATGCAGTGGGTGCAGCTCAAGGGCCCTTTTCTTAATGCACTGGGTGCGTTTTTCCGAATCGTACGTGTTTCCCGACTAATGGTTTGCATGTCCCTGTTTTGATCATTTTGATCCGGGGAATTTGTCACTGACACTATAACACATTAAACCTATTCATTTTGCACCTCTCGGTAAGCTAATTTCTTTTTTTTATGGCCAAAAATATCCTTTTTGCGTTTCTTGTTTTGAAGAGTATATATGGGAACAGTAACTTCGTCACACCCATAACATCGGGTACAGGGGGAACTCTTCTTGCGTAAGGTCGATGCTGGGATATAAATGTAAATTATTAACGCTGTGTTCACTCGTAATGAGTTCCACTTGATCGTTCCTAATGTACTTGTTTTACTTCTCTGTTTATTTGTTTATTTGTTTATTGTCGTTTTACACGGGGCTACAAAGTCCATGGTTCAATCTCGTGGTGTAGTGAATAGAACGTCTGCTACAAAGTCCATGGTTCAATCCCGTGGTGTAGTCGATAGAACGTCTGCTACAAAGTCCATGGTTCAATCCCGTGGTGTAGTCGATAGAACGTCTGCTACAAACTCCATGTTTCAATCCCGTGGTGTAGTCGATAGAACGTCTGCTACAAACTCCATGGTTCAATCCCGTGGTGTAGTGGATAGAACGTCTCCTACAAAGTCCATGGTTCAATCCCGTGGTGTAGTGGATAGAACGTCTCCTACAAAGTCCATGGTTCAATCCCTTGGTGTAGTGTATATACCGTCTGCTACAAAGTCCATGGTTCAATCCCGTGGTGCAGTGGATAGAACGTCTGCTACAAAGTCCAGCGTTCAATCCCGCAGTGTAGTGGATAGAACGTCTGCTACAAAGTCCATGGTTCAGTCCCGTGGTGTAGTTGATAGAACGTCTGCTACAAAGTCCAAGGTTCAATCCCGTGGCGGAGTGGATAAAACGTCTGCTACAAAGTCCATGGTTCAATCCCGTGGTGTAGTCGATAGAACGTCTGCTACAAAGTCCATGGTTCAATCCCACGGTGTAGTGGATAGAACGTCTGCTACAAAGTCCATGGTTCAATCCCGTGGTGTAGTCGATAGAACGTCTGCTACAAAGTCCATGGTTAAATCCCGTGGTGTAGTCGATAGAACGTCTGCTACAAAGTCCATGGTTCAATCCCACGGTGTAGTGGATAGAACGTCTGCTACAAAGTCCATGGTTCAATCCCGTGGTGTAGTCGATAGAACGTCTCCTACAAAGTCCATGGTTCAATCCCTTGGTGTAGTGGATAGAACGTCTGCTACAAAGTCCGTGGTTTAATCCCGTGGTGTAGTGGATAGAACGTCTGCTACAAAGTCCATGGTTCAATCCCGTGGTGTAGTCGATAGAACGTCTCCTACAAAGTCCATGGTTCAATCCCACGGTGTAGTGGATAGAACGTCTGCTACAAAGTCCATGGTTCAATCCCACGGAATAGTGGATAGAACGTATGCTTCAAAGTCCATGGTTCAATCCCGTGGTGTAGTGGATAGAACGTCTGCTACAAAGTCCATGGTTCAATCTCGTGGTGTAGTCGATAGAACGTCTGCTACAAAGTCCATGGTTCAATCCCGTGGTGTAGTCGATAGAACGTCTGCAACAACGTCCATGGTTCAATCCCGTGGTGTAGTCGATAGAACGTCTGCTACAAAGTCCATGGTTCAATCCCGTGGTGTAGTCGAAAGAACGTCAGCTACAAAGTCCATGGTTCAATCCCGTGGTGTAGTGGATAGAACATCTGCTACAAAGTCCATGGTTCAATCCCACGGTGTAGTGGATAGAACGTCTGCTACAAAGTCCATGGTTCAATCCCGTGGTGTAGTCGATAGAACGTCTGCTACAAACTCCATGGTTCAATCCCGTGGTGTAGTGGATAGAACGTCTGCTACAAACTCCATGGTTCAATCCCTTGGTGTAGTGGATAGAACGTCTCCTACAAAGTCCATGGTTCAATCCCGTGGTGTAGTTGATAGAACGTCTGCTACAAAGTCCATGGTTCAATCTCGTGGTGTAGTGGATAGAACGTCTGCTACAAACTCCATGGTTCAATCCCGCGGTGTAGTCGATAGAACGTCTGCTACAAAGTCCATGGTTCAATCCCGTGGTGTAGTGGATAGAACGTCTGCTACAAACTCCATGGTTCAATCTCGTGGTGTAGTGGATAGAACGTCTGCTACAAACTCCATGGTTCAATCCCGCGGTGTAGTCGATAGAACGTCTCCTACAAAGTCCATGGTTCAATCCCGTGGTGTAGTGGATAGAACGTCTGCTACAAAGTCCATGGTTCAATCCCTTGGTGTAGTGGATAGAACGTCTCCTACAAAGTCCATGGTTCAATCCCGTGGTGTAGTGGATAGAACGTCTGCTACAAACTCCATGGTTCAATCCCGCGGTGTAGTGGATAGAACGTCTGCTACAAAGTCCATGGTTCAATCCCTTGGAGTAGTCGATAGAACGTCTGCTACAAAGTCCATGGTTCAATCCCTTGGTGTAGTGGATAGAACGTCTGCTACAAAGTCCAGCGTTCAGTCCCGTGGTGTAGTCGATAGAACGTCTGCTACAAACTCCATGGTTCAATCCCGCGG